ATGCATACACACATCACACAAAGCGAAAATACTAACCCATTTTAGGTTATATTACAGGACAATAACAACAACAGCATGATACTGCACTAAAAACAGACATACTGATCAATAGGATCTGAAGACTAAGATGTAAGTCCACACACCTCACCTGATTGTTTTCATCTTTTTTATATAGCAACAAGTTCCCCCTCCCTCTTCCCTCTCCTCCCTCCCCCGCCACCCACAACCGCTCCTTCTCTGCCTCCACTTAGATGGGGTAAGGCCTCCTGTGGGAATTGAGTCCAGTTGAGAGGATGGAGGGATAATATATGAGCAGGGGGTGGGGGATCAGGCTTGTGAGGGGGAAACCTGCAAAGGTAGTTGACCTGAGCTTGTGGGAGCTCATGGACTCTAGATAGGCAGCTAGGGAGTCTGCATGAGACCAACCTAGGCCCTCTGTATCTGGGTGACAATTGTGTAGCTTGGTCTTTTGTGGGGTCCCTAGCAGTGGTACCAGGACCTGTCCCTGATGCATGAGCTGGCTCTTTGGAACCTCACCTGTTTTTTTTTTTTAATAAATTTATTTATTTTACAATCTGGTTGAAGTTTCCCCTCCCTCCTCTTCTCCCAGACCCTCCCCTGACACTTGCTCTGTTCCTACCCCCAAATCCACTCTTCCATGAGTATCAACAAAACATGGCAGATCAAGTTACAGTAAGACTAAGTACTTCCCATGTATTAAGGCTGGGCAAGATGACCCAGTATGAGGAGTAGGATCCCAAAAGCCAGTAAAAGAGTTGAGACAGCCCTGGTTCCCACTGTTACAAGAGGACCAAGCTACACAAGTTACAAGAGTCGTACAAGAGGACCAAGCTACACAACTGTAACAGACATGGAGTCCCTGGCTGTTTGTTCAGTCTCTTGAGCACCTATGGACCCAGGTTAGTTGATTCTGTGGGTTTTCTTGTGTCCTTGACCACTACAGGATTCAATGAGCTCTGCCTAATGTTTGGCTGTGGGTCTGTGCCTAGAGATTGGGGGAGTGGCCAACCAATAACCCATGTCAAAAGTCATCCCCCTCCCCAACGACACTGCCTGGAGCACTGGGACCCACAGGCTGGGTGACCCAGAGACCTAGGATAGAGGCAAACATGACTGGAGGAGAGAGTGTCAATGTGATGATGGCTAATGATGGCTCTCATAGGCATCTCATGCCCAGCCCAGATTTTTTTTTTTTTAAACAGAGGCCAAAAATACACACTTGAAAAAAGATAGCATCATCAACAAATAGTGATGGTCAACTTGGATAATTACATGAAACTTAATTCTTACCTCTTATCTTGTACAAAATTCAACTCTAAATGGACCAAGGACCTCAACACAAGACCAATTCCCTGAATAAGGGAATACACTTCGACTCCCAGGCAGGAAAGGGTTTTTCCAACAGGGTCCTGGTAGCATGGGCATTAAAATCAACAACAGACAAATGAGACCACGTGAAATTTAAGAAGTTTCTGTACACAAAAGACATAGTCATGCTGGGTGGTGTTGGCACACACCTTTAATCCCAGCACTTGGGAGGCAGAATCAGGAGGAACTTTGTGAGTCTGAGGCCAGGCTGATCTACAAAGCAAGTTCCAGGTCAGACAGGACTGTACAGAGAAACCCTGTCTCAGAAAAAATAAAAGACACCATCATTTGTGTAAAGAGACACACTATAGAATAGAAAAAGATCTTAATCAGATATACATCTGACAGAGAGTTAATATCTGGAATATACAAAGAACTAAAAACAAAACCCTAAACATCGAGAAAACAAGCAACCCTATTATAAAATGGGGTGTAAAACCAAACAGTTCTCAAAATATGAAATACAAATGACTAAGAAAGTAAAAATTGTTCGGCTGGGACTGGAGAGATGGCTTGTTAAGAGCACTGGTTGCTTTTCCAGAGGACCTGGCCTCAATTCCCAGCACCCACATGGCAGCTCACAACTGTAATTCCAGTTTCAGGGGATCTGACACCTTCACATGAATGCACATAACGTTAAATTATAAAAGAAAACTGTTCAGCAAGCTGGGTGGTAGTAGCACATACCTTTAATCCCAGCACGCTGGAGGCAGAGGCAGGGGGAAATCTCTAAGTTTGAAACCAGCCTGGCTTACAAATAGAATTCCAGGGAATCTAGGGCTGTTAACACAGAGACACCCTGTCTCAAAAAATGAAACAAAACTAAAATTAAGAAATTCACAGGCAAATGGATGGAATTAGAAACATTATTACCTTTAACTGCTAGCTATAGGCCACAACCCAAAACCAAAAAATCATTCTGAGTGAGGTACCCAAATTCAGAAAGACACATGTCACATGTTTTCTCTTGTTTGTGGATGTTAGCTTTGAAACTTCAGATTTGTGTTGCATCTGGAATATTCTCAGATGTCCAGAAGCTACTAAAGGGCTTTGTAGGTACACAGGACTTGGGGAGAATGATGGGACAGGAATTTATGGATAAATCGGGGTGGGTGGGGCAGGTAGAGAAGGGTTACAGGGAGGGATGACTAACACTAAAGGCCTCTTGAAAAAGCCACCTGGAGACCTATTGCCATAGAAGACTCCTAAAACATAAATGTATGTGAAGAGTATGACCGGATAGCTCTGCTCTGGAGCACTAGCTTCGCCTTGAGGTTGGGTTCTCAGCATCCACACAGCACTCCAAAACTATCTCTTCACTGCAGCTCTTCTAGGAGATGCCATCTTCAGGCCTTCCAGGGCTCCAGGCATGCTCACTGGTGCAGACATACATGCAGACATAAATATACATAAATCAAAAAGCAGTTTAGTATTGCTGCCCTATGGCAAGGGCACAATATCCCTACTAGACACTACTTGCTAGAAAACAGAAACCCCAATACCAGGGATGGGGTCCCTCTTTGTGGGTTATTGGCTATTAAGATCCCATAGACCAGTACTTGGGAGGCAGAAGCAGGCAGATTTCTCTCTGCATAGTGAGTTCTAGGACAGATCTCCCCTCCTTGCAAGCATTACAGGCCGTTGCCAATACTCTTGGCTACCCTTCATGACTGACTAGAACCCTATTGATGAAGGTAACAGACTGGATGAGGAATATGGAGAAATCAGGCTGGTTACTCATTTGGGAGCTTCACCCCTGCTACCCAGACATCAGAATGTATGGCAAAGCCTGTTGAGATGGCAGCTGCACCAGAGACAATGGGAAGTCCTGGCTCTGAGGACTCAGGAGGAGCAGGGATTAGGGTCTAATTCTGATACTAAGGCTGTCATTTTCCAGACAGAGCAAGAGAATGATAGAAGGTGAGCTGTGGGCAGCAATGTAAGTGGACAACAATAAAAGTGACTCTGAGGTGCCTAAAGGGAACATGTTTAGGTACAAATGCAAATAGGAGTCAAAATTCTAATCTGATAAATAAAACTACATAAAAAATGATGAAAGATTAGCTGGTCGAGGTGGTGCAGTTCCTTGCGCCCAGCTGTTGGAGAGTAGGGAGCTGTTAGCGAGTTACTGTGATGTGTGAGGGCAGGGCTCAGGAGGCTGATTGAGTCTAACCAAGCTGTCAAAAGCCTGCTAAGGCTTCCATACCACACAAAGTGGTGCTTGGAGTGGATGGGAAGATTCTAGCCCAGAGTAAAGCAGGGACTCACAGGCACTGCTGCCTGGCCCCTTTTCCCAGCAGAGACTAAGGCTGGCCACTGGCCCCACAGCCTTGCTGAGGCCGCACTTTTACTGTGTAAACTGTTCTGTGGCTCTGGGCGGAGCCTTACCCCTTGCCGATCTATAATTTCTCAGAAAAGAAGCTGAGGAATAACCTGGAAAATGCCCTGGAGATGGAGCGGCATAGTGGAAACCACAGCCCCCTGACCCTTCCAGACCTGTCCACTTCCTCTGTCTGCTTAGACATAGGTCCTAATGTCCCTCAACCACCCCCCAGAAAAGCTGCCCTTCCTGAAGCCCAGGCACTGGCCCCTCCCGTGTGCATTCCCACCACCCCAGGCAGGGCAAAGGTCACAGCTGCCAGGCCCTGGAGGAAGAAGCTGAGATGTGGCTCCGGCAGGGTGAGTGGAGCCAGGCTGAGCACCCCACGAGCCACCCCTTACCTAACCTCTCCCAGGCAGCATGTTTACCCCTGCTAGGAAGTAGCAGGTAGTTAGAGCCTCCTTGTTACTGAGGGCAGCATGAAGCCTGTGGAAGCTGGCTGGCCTGGCTCTTAAGTCCTGGGCACCCCACTGTCTCTCTGGCAGACTTTCCTAGGAGGGTTGTGCAGGGGAAAGCAAACACGAGGTAGCTGGCGGCCCGGCCAGGTGTTCCTAGAAGAGGCCCTGGGGGAGGGGCAGTGGCCAGACATCAGCTGACCTAGGGGTCATAGGAGAGCTGAGGCTGGGCAAACCCTGGGCTAGGAAGCACAAATGATAGGGCCCACTCAGGCTGTTAAGAAACCCCAGCTCAAACCAGGCTGTGGTGGCGCACACCTTTACTCCCATCACTCCGGAGGCAGAGGCAGGCGGATCTGTGTGAGTTCAAGGCCAGTCTGGTCTACAGAGTGAGTGAGTTCTAGGACAGCCAGCTGTCCCCCCTAAAACAAAACAAAAAACAAACAAACAAAAAAGAAACCCCAGCTCAGACAGCATGCTAGAAACATAGGCAGAGCTATAAGAAACAGGCAGCATCTGCTTACCCTGACACAGCTATCTGCTCAGTATGGGGGTGAGTGGGGGATTCCTAAGGATCTGAGGGCTCCCCTAGAGCAGCCTCACCTTCACTGAACCTACTTGGAGAGAGGGCTCTGTACTTTGAGCACCAAGTCCTGTAAGGCTACTCCAAGAAGCCCCTACCTTCAACACCTACAGGGGCAGCCTTCAGGGCCCCACCTCTCCCGAGGGAGACTTTCTCCCCTGGACCATTTGCACCAAGAAGCCCTGCTGTGGAGGCTGGCTACCCAGCATGAGAGGGTTAAAGGAGACGAGTGTGGGGCAGGGCCAGCTTAAGGCTGCCAGCGCTGGCAGTGAGGAAATCCACAGGGCAGCAGCCTGCACATACCCTGCCCTCGCTCACTGCCTGCCTGCAGCCAGTTCTGTACAAGGCACAATGACCCAGAGGACAGGTGAGGAATCCATGTCCCCTGCCACTTGCTCTGAGGGTATCTGGCCTTCGACCCGGAGCCCACTGGGAAAAGCTTCAGTGGGCTTAACTCAGGGTGGGTTGGTGGGGATTCTTGACTGCGTCTTGGATACTACTAACTGACACCAGAGGGTCTGTTACACTTTCCCTTGGTGGTGGTACTGGGGAGGGGTGGGGGTGGAGGTGGGGGGTCAAATGAAGGCAGGACAGGCAGGAACAAGTACCTAACCCCTGGGTATGACAAGGTTCAGAAAAATGAGGGCTCAGTGTTCCCCACGATCCTACCACACAGTTTGGTGGGACAGTGTTAGCCGCAGCCTGCAATCCTTCTAGCTACTGTTCTTGCGGGCCTGGGCCTGGGTGAGTAGGAAGCCGGTGTCTTATTCCTTGCCTGCCTTTGGTGCGCTACCGTGATGCCTGGGTCTGCCCCACCAACTCTCACTCCAAAACAACCATTATGCAGCTATGCCAGATGTATACTGCATAGTTGCACGGAACATAGTACTGTCCTGTCCAACCTGAGCTGGAGCTCTCAGCATACCTGAGGCAGATTTAGAATCGAGGTGCTGGCCAGGTCCGAATGAGTTGATGTCTGGTTGAGTGGACAGTTGGGGTTTTCTAGACCCCATTCTTCTGCCGGCAGGTGGTAAAGCCTGCACATACTGGGGAGCAAATAGCACCGGTGTACTCCCTCCAGCTGGGGCCCTAACAGATCAGGAGTGCCCACTTGCTGTCCAGGCGCTGAGGACCACAAATGAATACCCGGGTCTATTCCAGAATATTCTGGAACAGCCAGGTCTTGGCCAGCAGCTCGGTTTTGTTTCTCAGCCTGACTGTTGTGTATACCCCAGAGGACACACACTGCCACATGGCCTAGTGGCCAGGGCCCAGGTTGCCTGTGAAGCCAGGGTGAAATGGAAGAGCCAAGCCCTCAGTGTCCTTGCAGTGAGATGGGGACCACTACTTGCTGGTTCCATGAGCTAGAAAAGTGAAGTTGCTTCAAAGGATAGGATCTAACTGTCTACCATTGTCTGCTTGGTCTCAAAGTGGGATAACCACAGGTCTTGGTGTACAAACAACACCCTTCTCTTACAGTGGCTGGGGACTAGGGAAGCCCAGGGGTTGGCTCACATCCTGGGCTATAGTCCTCTGGGCACCTCCTTGCCAAGCCCTTCTCCTTACAGGAGGCCCAGCCCTAGTGGTGCTTCTGGCTTTCTGGGTGGCACTGGGCCCCTGTGACCTGCAGGGGACAGATCCTGGAGCATCAGGAGATGCTGAGGGCCCCCCGTGCCCTGTCATCTGTTCCTGCAGCTACGATGACTATACAGATGAGCTCAGCGTCTTTTGCAGTTCAAGGAACCTCACACGGCTGCCCGATGGCATCCCAATCAGCACCAGGGCCCTGTGGCTTGATGGCAATAACCTCTCCTCTATTCCCTCAGCGGCTTTCCAAAACCTGTCCAGTCTGGACTTTCTCAACCTGCAGGGCAGCTGGCTAAACAGCCTGGAGCCACAGGCACTGCTGGGCCTGCAGAACCTTTACCACTTGCACCTGGAGCGGAACCTGCTCCGGAGCCTAGCTGCTGGCTTATTCACGCACACACCCAGCCTGGCCTCACTCAGCCTGGGCAATAACCTCCTGGGCCGGCTGGAAGAGGGCCTATTCCAGGGCCTTGGTCACCTTTGGGACCTCAACCTCGGTTGGAACAGCCTAGTGGTACTGCCTGACATGGTGTTCCAGGGACTGGGTAATCTCCGTGAGCTGGTGCTAGCTGGCAACAAACTGGCTTACCTGCAGCCTTCGCTCTTTTGTGGCTTGGGTGAGCTGCGAGAGCTGGACCTGAGCAGGAACGCACTGCGCAGTGTCAAAGCCAATGTCTTCATACACCTGCCCAGGCTGCAGAAGCTGTACCTGGACCGCAACTTTGTCACAGCTGTGGCCCCCGGTGCCTTCCTGGGCATGAAGGCACTGCGTTGGCTGGACCTGTCCCATAACCGTGTGGCCGGTCTCTTGGAGGACACCTTCCCAGGCCTGCTGGGTCTGCATGTCCTGCGTCTGGCACACAATGCCATCACCAGTTTGCGGCCGCGTACTTTCAAAGACCTACACTTCCTGGAGGAACTGCAGCTTGGCCACAATCGCATCCAGCAGCTAGGTGAGAAGACATTTGAGGGCCTGGGGCAGCTGGAGGTGCTGACACTCAATGACAATCAGATCCAGGAGGTTAAGATAGGTGCCTTCTTTGGCCTCTTCAATGTGGCTGTTATGAATCTCTCCGGTAACTGTCTGAGGAGCCTCCCAGAGCGGGTGTTCCAGGGTCTGAGCAAGCTGCACAGCCTGCACTTGGAGCACAGCTGCGTGGGCCGCATCCGCCTGCATACTTTCGCTGGTCTCTCAGGGCTGCGCAGGCTCTTCCTCAGGGACAACAGCATCTCCATCATTGAAGAACAGAGCCTGGCAGGGCTCTCTGAGCTCCTGGAGCTTGATCTTACTGCCAACCAGCTCACACATTTGCCCCGCCGGCTTTTCCAGGGCCTTGGCCAGCTGGAGTACCTTCTTCTCTCACATAACCGGCTGTCGGCACTGTCTGAGGATGTCCTGAGCCCCCTGCAGCGGGCCTTCTGGCTGGACATCTCACACAACCGCCTGGAGGCGCTGTCTGAAGGCCTTCTTTCACCACTGGGGCGGCTACGCTACCTCAGCCTCAGGAATAACTCTTTGCAGACCTTTTTGCCACAACCTGGCCTGGAACGCCTGTGGCTTGATGCCAACCCCTGGGACTGCCGCTGTCCCCTCAAGGCACTTCGTGACTTTGCCCTGCAGAACCCCAGCATTGTCCCCCGCTTTGTTCAGGCTGTCTGTGAGGGGGATGACTGCCAGCCAGTGTACACCTACAACAACATCAGCTGTGCTGGCCCTGCCAATGTCTCAGGCCTCGACCTACGAGACATCAGTGAAACACATTTTGTGCACTGCTGACCCTGGCTACTACTGGCCTGGTTTGGCCTCATGCTATCCTGTGGTCAGGACAGTGTCTCACTGTTACTGAAGCTAGCAGCGGAAGGAAGGACACCTGCCCATCTCTCTAGGGGACAGGTCCTGGGCTGCTTGCTCACTTCCTGGAATCAGGGCAGTACTGGCAGCTATGTGACCTAAACTCAGAAAGGGTGGGCGCAGGCCAGGTGCGCCTCAACCAGGAGGGGAAGGCTCCTCAGCAGTCCCTGCTGGCAACAATTAAAGCAAGCACTAAGCATGGCTTGTGACCTTGAGTGTGAACTTGGGAAAGGTGAACTTGTGGTCTTACTGTCCTTTGTCCCCAACCCTTCTATCCTGTCCTAGTTCTGCCTGAGCCCAGTTTGTGCCTTGCTGGTGTTGGGAACATGTACCACTTCATCCTGCTATGCACATGTCCTCTTGGGCTTCTTAGGATCCTCTCCTCTAACGTAAGGATCTGCAGGCACTTAAATCTCCCCAAACCCTGACACTGCATCCTCCCTCAGAGCAAGACCCTGGGACCAGGTGGGGTTCTCACAGCTGTCCAGATCTCAGGTAGTCTGAGCACAGGCTTGAAGGTCCCACTGCCCCACTGTTGGACAATAACAGCTGGCCAGGTGGTGGCACACACCTTGAATCCCAGCACTCAGGAGGCAGAGGCAGGCAGCTCTCCGTGAGTTCGAGGCCAGCCTGGTCCTCAGAGCTAGTTCCAGGACAGGCTCCAAAGCAATACAGAGAAACCATCTTGAAAAACCAACCAACCAAACAAAACCAGTGATGCTGGGGGTGGGGGCAGGTAGGAGTTGAGAGCAGCACCTTCCCCTCTGACTGCAGGAACTGCCCCCTATAAGGCTCTCCAGGCCCCCAGTCTCTCCCAGAGACCTCAGCTTTGCCCCAGGAAGATATAACAGGTCACTGTCTGCTTTCCAGAGCTCTCTTTCCTGTCCTTTCCAGGAAGCAGGACTGTGACTCAGCTCACACTTGAACGCGCACCCTATGGCTTCCAGCTGCCCCAGGCCCTCAGTAATAAGTTTCTGAAAACATAATATGCCAACACCCATCCCCCAAGACAAGACAGATATCCTCACCATGTCTTCAGTCCCCTCCCCTTAATATCTTTAATAATATTGCTTATTACAGTCTTACAGTGTAGCAAAAGCCATCTCACTGAGGACAGAGGGATCTGGACGCTGGGTTCTTCACAAGGAGGGGTGATATGTTTAATGGCAGATTCCTGTTAGTTACCAGATGTGCCTGTAGACCACACAGTATCACAGAAGGCTCCAAAGCACAGCCCTTGTGGGCACTCAGGGTCAGACAGGATGAGAAAGTACTGGACAGCTCATGTATGGTGTGGCTGTCTGAGTAGCCTGTGGATCTGGGGCAGAAGGGACTAGGGCCAGACAAAGCCCATAGGCTGGAGGTTAAGGCTGCAACTATCTCAAGAAACTAGGGCCCAAGCCATCCTCTCAGCTACAGACTAGTGGGAAATGTCACTGGGCTGGCAGGATGATCTCTGCATGGAGGTAATCACAGAGCAGCCATTGCTCCAGCCAGCAACTGCAGCTCCTACAACAGTCCTGAGGACCTCTGCTCCCAGAATTCCTACAGGCTGTTAACAGCACCCAGCATCAGGAGGCTGACTGTCAGGAGAGCAGAGCAGGCATCCTATGCAGAACTTTCTGGGCTATGGAAGTGAGTGCAGAATATGCGGTGCTCTTGGGAAACTCCTGGATGAAGTCACGGCCCTCCTCCAGGCTCCTGGTAAGCTGGGGGTCTAGGGGAACAGAGCCTGCAACAACAAAAGCCATGGAAGGGTTGACAAGATGGCTCAGTGGGTAAAGGTGCTTGCTGCTAAGCCGGATAATCTGAGTTCAATGTCCAGAACCTACCTGGTAGAAGGTGATGAGTGACCTCCAGAAACTGTCACCTGACCTCCCCATACACACTGTGGCATATGCACACCCACAAACCCCTCTATGATGGACAAATAAAACTAAGAGGAGACCTAGCAAAAGACTGCAGCAGGTGAGGCGTGACCTCCCACTTAAACAATGTGGGACAAGTGGCAGAAGCCTGGTATCCTTGAAACACGCACTCCCAAAATGTAGCTGGGTGGTGGGCAGCCCACGTAAACCTCAGATTGGACACTTATACTGAAGCAAGGCCCAACACTTCTGTCAGTCCCACTCAGAAGCCTGGTAGATGGAGTTGGGGGCCCAGCTGGCTTGCTCTTGACACTCACCTAAAAAGGGGACTCCAGTCAGCTGGGCCAGCTCCTCTCCACCACCCCTGGAGAAGACATTGGTGCACTCCTAGGAAACAAGGGGGGGGGGGCTGTGAGGGTCCAGTTTGCAGAGCCACTCACCACGCTGAGACTCATGGCCAGGGTGAGAGCTCCAGCTGGTGCAGAGAGCGCACCCAGGTAGTAACAGTGTTCTCTTTAGCCGGGAAGTCACTTACCTGAACTGATGGACAGGGACCTACTTACCCAAATTCTCTGACTTCTTGCCCTTTCCTGTACTCCCTCAGACCCTGAAATAGCCCACCAATCTTCCAAGACTCACAGCGCAGTGTGGGCAGGCAAAGCCGCTCATGTTCTCTATGACCCCTATGATCTGCAGCCCAGTCTTCCTACAGAAAGTCAGCTCCCGCCTCACATCCCCAACAGACACTGCCTGTAGATCAGAGAAAGAACCAAGTAACCAGCAGAAAACATGGCCCACTACAGCCCAACCCAACCAGAACAGACTCACAGACAGATGGACAGACAGACACACACACACCCCAGGTAAGGAGAGAGGAGATGCCAGTGATACCTGTGGTGTGGTGATCACAAGGGCTCCCAGGGGCCTATAGGGACGCAGGGCTTCCACAGTGGCCATGTGCTCATCAGAGGTCCCTGGTGGTGTGTCCACAACCAGGTAGTCCAGCTCCCCCCAGGCCACGTCGGACACAAACTGCTTTATCAGTGCTGTAAAGACCCCAGAGACCAGCAGTAATCTGATAAAGGGTTAGGCAGGGGAGGCCCATCTTGTCCAGCCCCAGGATCTACCAGGTGCTACTGGGCAGCTCCCAGGGGACAATGGGACTAACTGCCATATATGATAGCAATGGTTCTTGATCTGCGAGGTTAACTGGGGAGGCAGAGTTCCTGGGCAGCTGTACCACCTGCCAGCACCAAGCTGTCTCGACATACTCCACCCTACAGGGCAGGGCTGTAGCTGACCCCCATGAAGGCCCCAGGGGAGGATGGAACCTCCAATCTAAGGTCTGTGTCCTCAAGGCCAGAGAAAATGGTCTGGCATGACCCTGGCCAGCACACCCAGGAGCAGCAAGGCATGCACTCTAAGTGTGCTATTCTTCCCAGGTAGCCTCACTGCATCAGGATGGCTTAGCATCGCCTCCTTGAAGCTCAGCAGTTGGTCCATTACACACTGTGGGGCCTCAGAGCCGAGCACTGAGTCAGGACAAGGCTCTCAGTAGACCTCCTTTCTAACTGAGATGAACTTGGAGTGGCTAATGGTTTCACAACAAACTCTTGTCACTCCATCCAGAGGCTGATACTGTTGTCATAGTGTGTGAGGGGCTTCTCTGGGTCATAGGGGTGTGCATATTCTGCTGGGTAGGCACACATGAGCAGTGGAAGCATTCCAATGGGACAAAGTCTCCAATACCAAGAGGCCAGGGCTGGATTTTGACTTTACCCAAAGGCAGCAGCCATGATAGAAGGGAAAGTAGCCACAATAAAGAGGCATTAAAGAGTCAACTGGGGGGCTCCCCCTCACTGAGTCCTTACCATGTTTCTTGGGACCTCTCCACACCACTGCCTCATCTGGGTTTTCCAGCAGGAAGCCCACAGACATGAGGGAGATGGTCTTCTCCTGATCCACAAAGACAGGCACCCAGCCCTGGTCACACTGGTGCACTGCCTTGCCTTGTGCACGGAGCATGTGTGGGATGCTGGGACCACACAGGTCTACATCTAGGATTCCCACCTGAAAGAAGGCGGATGCTGAGGGGTGGAAAGAAGCCTTCCAAGTTGCTGGTAGCTAGAAATGATAAGTGCAGCAGGTTTCAACCCTGGGGTGGAGGGGGGATACGGGGGGCCGCTCACCTTTTTGCCTTGGTGGCGCAGTGCCAGGGCCAACTCTGTGGAGATGGTACTTTTCCCAACGCCACCCTTTCCAGAGAGGACAAGGATGATATTTCGAACGCCGGCCAGGTTCCCGGGCTCTGGTGAGAGACAAGGGTTGGGGTGTCCGGAAAAGCGACAAAGGCACAAAGGCACCCAGGTAGAAGGTCTTCTAGAAGTTCCAGACCTATCTCGGTCTCACTTCTGTCTGACATGGGGCAACTGAAGGCACATGCACATGTGACACCGTGTATGAATGCTCATTTATGATAAATCCTCAAACCGCCAACTCATTTCAACAGACACAGGGGAAACTAATGGTACAGTTTAGCACAGCTAAGCGGCACCTGTGCACGAATGCATAGACTTCACATCAGAGTCCACAGAGGGCTTCCAACTTTCTGGGAAGAGTAATGCTGAAGACCTAGAGCAGCCTTAACCGTCGACAAGTGCAAGCGCGTCACTCGGCTGGCTCAGTTAACAAGGGGACATGACATGCATCGGTGTCTCCGGCTACTCTGAGTGCAGGTCACGGGTAAGCCGCTCTACTCGGTCCGCCTTCACACTTCCCCGACCCCGCATGCTCACCAGCCACCGCCTCCATCCCGCCACTAGCTGATCTTCGTGGCTCCCTTACGCTTCCTCTCCTAACTCTCCGAGCTTTGAACCAATAGCAACAAGAGTCCGCCCCTGACTCACTTTGAGCGGCCTAGTCACGCATCCTTCAGCCAATCAGGTCACCTCTTAGGCCCCAATCTTGGCAACTGATAATGACGCCACGGACACAGACATACTTCCGCATGTTTGCCCAATGGTGATGCGAGAATCTTTTTTGACAACTCTAGCGAGGACCAGTAGGAATTTTGGGTCAGGATTGACAGATCGTACAAGCCTTTGGACAGCAGTTCTGTCTCTCGAGACCCGCCCCCGCGAGCAGCCGGGAGAGCCCGCCTTCGGCTGCCCGGCCAATGCGGCGCGGGGGCGGGGATTGTTTGCGTCGCGGCCGGAACGGAAAGTGGGTCAGCGCCGGCGGAGCGCGTTGGCCGCAGGTGAGCCGCGCCTGCCCAGCCCGGCCAGGCCCGGCGGGCGGCGCGCTGACCTTGCAGGCGGTCAAACCGGCATCTCTTTGTTCCCCGGTGGTGGCGCCCGGGTTTCTGGGCGGAGACCTCGGAGCCAGGCGCCAGCAACATCGCCGTAACGAGATCCGCGAGCCTCTGGCGAGGGAAGCAACCTCTGGCTCCGCGGAGGCCGAGCGGGTCCGCGTCCCGGGACGTCTCTGGTTCATTCATTGGGTTCCTACTGTGTGCTCCTCCTGCACGGCGCTCACCCAGCCCCACTGCTGCGGAGTGCTGGGCGCGGCCGCGCTCGGCCTCTTTGTGGGTAGGGTAGTGCAGTGGGTCCGCAGGGGATGAGAACAGAGCTGACTATTAGACCCAGACGTCCACTTGGGAGAGGAGGTCCAGCTCTCCTGTAGCCTTGCATTTTGTCCCAAGAATGACGTCAAGGCCCGAGTAGAGTTTAGGGTTGTGTCAAAGACTGAATTGGGTTTGTAGTGCGTGGAGCGGGATGGGTAAGAGGGAGTTGTGTGGTGCAGCGAGCAGTGGGTCTCTAGCGACAAGGAGGAACCACTTCAGGTGTGTTGGAAGAAGGGATGTCAGGAGTGCATGACAGCTGTGTTTCTGGCATGAGGAACTGGATGTTGGGGATGCCATTTGCCAAAGTGGACAGCAGAGGAGGAGGAGCAAGTTAAGTGTCATATGTCTGAGGGGCAGCAGCTCCTGAACGGAATGCAGAGATGGGCTGGGGCGTCTCCAGAGTTATGGGTGTCTGGGTTGCGTTTCACACCATCGCCCTGGGCTTGATTGAGGTGCTCAGATACTGGAGCCAGGTATGAGCTTGTGGGAGTTCCTGGAGCCTAGGTTTACTGTCTAAGGCCCTGGAGTCCCCATCCTTTCGTGGGTCTATGGCTTAGCTTGCTAGGTTGCCCAGAAATGCCAGGGGGCAGAGTTGTATGGTTTGGGTATGGACTTTGTTTGAGTATTATGACACATTACGTGTCTTTAAGGCTTACAACTATTATTTTTTTCCAGGTCCTCTCCACTATGGCCCGGCGTCCACGGAGTAGCAGGGCATGGCACTTTGTTCTGAGTGCAGCCCGCCGAGACACAGATGCCCGAGCTGTGGCTTTGGCAGGAACCACTAACTGGGGCTATGACTCTGATGGGCAGGTAGGTCCCAGTAGCAAGGTGGGAATGAGCAGTGTATGGATGGGGAGTGAAAAAGACTGAGGTAGGCGACTGGACTGCCTCCTGGAAGGAGGGCTCTTTGGCCTGGTAAAGATCATGTAGCCTGAGTGTGACAGAGATTCAAAACACAATTCCTTGTCCAGGGAATGTAAGTCCTGGACAGTGCTGGTCAGTGTGCAATGGAAGCCTGTTCATCAGCACTGCCAATTTCCAGAATCGTTCCTGCAAACTTGGTTCGCATCTTCTGGATATTTTTGTTTATAGTGTGCCAGTTAATGTGTAGATGCCAGAAGACACTTTTCTTTCCCCTTTGTGGAGTTCTCTCCTTCTATCTTTATTTGGGATCTAGGGATCAAACTTAGGTTGTCTTTGATGTACAATAGCAAGCATACACATGCTGAGCCTTCTTGATGACTCTGGATAGTCACTTTATATTCATGTGTATAAATATTCACCTCATATGTTGTGTATAAAAGGATCTATGATGTCTTTTTCCCTTTTTGAGACAGGGTCTCTGTGTAACCCTAGCTTTCCTGGATCTAGGCCAAGCTAGCCTTGAACTGAGAGATCTACCTGCATCTGTTTCCCAAGTGCTGGGATCAAAGGTGTGCGCCACCATGCCCAGCTTCTTTACTTTTAGAAACAGTCTCACACTGTACCACAGGCTGGCCTTGGAGTTAAGGCAGTTTATTTATTGTGTGGGCACATGTGTGCTCTGATGAGTATGTGGGTCAGTTCTCGCCTACCATTTGATACCCTTGCGATCAAACTCAGGTCATCAACATTTTTTTTTTTTTTTTAAATCTATAGTTCTTGAAGTTCAGATTTCTAAGATCTCTTTTGTGGCAGACTCTGGGCACAGGGAGGCCCAGGAATGCAAGGCACAGGGCACATACCAGCTTGATGCACCTGACCAGGCTCCTGGGGGTGGCTCCTGATTTGTCTTGCTATACTGGATTGGTATTCTGGCTCTGCCCTTTATTGCCTGTACACTGATGTCACGGCTCCCTGCAGCACAGAGTCCCTCACCAGCTTGTGAGGAAAACTTGGAAGCCATAGATTACTGACTTGGTCAGCAGTGTCCAAGACCCTTGGGGGCTTCAGAACTTGAGAGGTCAGCCCAAATTTTCAGCTAGACCCAATGACAATGTACCCTGGAGCAGCCTATGTGCCTCTTCCTGTGTCACAGTCATCACTGAGGGATGGAAGCAGCGACACACACGCCTGTCAAGTGATGAGTTTGCAGTGCCATTTGTCAGGTGCCAGTTAGTTCCTGGTGTCCCTGGGCCCTTTGTTGGGTTGAACAATATCCTCCCTCCTGTCCTTGGTAGCTACTCACCCTGACTCTTGCTTCAGTGCCTTGGCTTTAGGTGATCCTGTCTCTGTCAGTGTGTACAAGGTCTGCTCTATCTGGGGTATAAGCCTTTCCTTTAGGCAAGATAGCTGTTCTGGTTGGCTTCCAAGGAGCTTAAGTTCACGTTGGTTGACTAAATATCCTTTGTCTGGCTCCTTGTGGAGTTACTACTCCACAGCTTGCAGTTGGAGGTCAGTTTCTAGTCTCCCCTCAGCTGTCTGTTGCTGGCCACTTTCTCCTTGCTGGTGGTACTGTCCAACCACCATGATTGTTCTTGGGATGTGGCATGTGATTTGGCACCTTCCTCGAGGAGCTGGTGACATTGCAAGCAGAGGACAAGATAGTGGAGACCCTGCATTTTGGAAGTAATATGGGGTGAAAGATCTGGTCCAAGCTCTTGTTGGCTGAGTGCTCCCATCTAGGGAATGCAGTGCTCACCTGGTACCCATAACAGGGCTGGCCATGTGGCCAGACAGATGTAACTCTTGAGTGGATGGTAGAACTGACGTGGCCGTCTGCTCAGGTTATAGAAGGGTCATGGCCTGTGTGGGGCATGGCAGGGCCAGACAGCTCAAGAAGGCAGAGGCCAAAGCTTCCAGGGCTGCCAAGCCAGCTAGCCTAAAGCACCAAAACAGGGACCCAAGGGTCTGCAGAGCAGCTGAAGAGGAATAGTGTCAATAGCTGGAACTTGACCAGCCTAGCTTTGTTTACACCTCCACCAGGCTCTGAGGACTGAACTCAAGCCCCAAGGACTGCACCTTTGGAGGAGTTTGCTGCAGCTGGGGCTTGAAGCAGCCACACTAGTCCATTAGGACTCATTAAGTGTGTTCCTTTTGCCTTCAGTGACCTTGTATGGGGTGGGAACACACATCCTAAGGCTTAGGTCTTAGGGCTATGAAGAGCTGGATGTTAGACCTTACTGACAGCACCAGCTCCGTGGCTTAGGAGACCTTGAGCTACCTAGAGGGAGGTGTTGGAGAGCCCCATCTCATGTGGGTTTCTAGCTATGCCAAAATGGGGCTAAAAGCTGTATATTGAGTTTCAGAGTTCCATTAAGAAGCTGAGGGAGCAGTGGTCACCCTCAGGCCACCTCCCCAGGTCACTGTACTCTTTCAGGCATAGAAGTCAGTTTTAGCACTGAGGTTGCTTATGCTGGGCACTGGAGAACCCCATGAGGTGTCTGGGTTCTTCTCCGGTGGATATGAGAAGGGATCAGGTAGCCTGGCTATGGGGAAGCTGCCATAAATAGAGCAATCTGCCCCTTCCCTCCCAGCACAGCGACTCAGACTCTGACCCTGAGTACTCTTCCCTGCCACCATCCATCCCCAGTGCTGTGCCTGTGACAGGAGAGTCCTTCTGTGACTGTGAGGGCCAGAATGAGGCTACCTTCTGCAACAGTCTACACACAACACACCGTGGCAAGGACTGCCGTTGTGGTGAGGAGGATGAGGGTGAGTGTCCTGTCACCTCCCCAGGGGTGGGGTAGGGGGCCACTGGGCAGGTACTGCTTTGCTCCAGCTCTGCCTTGTTTGCACCCTGTCTCACAGATTTTGATTGGGTCTGGGATGATCTGAACAAGTCCTCGGCCACCTTGCTGAGCTGTGATAACCGTAAGGTCAGCTTTCACATGGAGTACAGCTGTGGCACGGCAGCCATTCGGGGCACTAAGGAGCTAGGGGATGGCCAACATTTCTGGGAAATCAAGATGACCTCTCCTGTGTATGGCACTGACATGGTAAATGGCTAGGCAAGAGGGTAGCTGCCGTGGGCCCTGCCATAGGCCCCTAACTAGCCCAGCCCCAATGTTTACAGATGGTGGGCATTGGGACATCAGATGTAGACCTGGACAAGTACCACCACACATTCTGCAGCCTGCTTGGCAGGGACGAAGACAGCTGGGGCCTCTCCTACACTGGTGGGTATTGCCTGGGTTGTAGGTAGTGCTGGCAGTTGCTACAGACCTCTCCCAGGCTTACCCATCTACTGCTCCCAGGGCTCCTCCATCACAAAGGTGACAAGACAAGCTTCTCTTCACGCTTCGGCCAGGGCTCTATTATCGGCGTACACTTGGACGCCTGGCACGGGACACTGACATTCTTCAAGAACAGGAAGTGCATTGGTGAGGGTGTCTTCATGACCAGGTCTCAGCCTGACCTTGGAGACCGGAGAGGGAGCCTCTAGGGTGGGGTCAGGCAGTCTGTCATCTGACGTTCTCAGGGGTGGACAGGGCTGAAGCCAAGCTGGGGTTAGCAGGCTAGAGCTGTCTTCTCTTCAGAGTAGCAAGAGGTCTTCACCTTGGTGCATTATGGGAGGAGCTCCCTGGCATCTGATCTACATGGCACTTCAGGCTGAGTTTTCCTTCTAGGAGTAGCTGCCACTCGGCTGCAAAACAGAAGGTTCTACCCGATGGTGTGCTCCACAGCTGCCAAGAGCAGCATGAAAGTCATCCGCTCCTGTGCAAGCTCCACCTCCCTGCAATACCTGTGCTGCTATCGCCTGCGCCAGTTGAGGCCAAACTCAGGGGACACCCTTGAGGGCCTGCCCTTGCCCCCTGGCCTCAAGCAAGTGCTGCATAACAAGCTGGGCTGGGTCCTGAGCATGAACTGCAACCGCCGAAAGTCGCCTGGGCCCCCTTCTGGCACAGCCACAACTGGTGCGGCGAGCCCTGAGACCAGGCCCTGTCAGAGGAAGCGCTGCAGAAGAAGCTGACTGCTGCAGCTGGAACCAACTGCCTTCTCCTGTGCCTTCCAGGGCAGCGGTAGCGACAGTGGCAGAGGGAGGACTGAGGTCTGTCTAGGCTTGCCCCCATCTCCCTTAAGCCAGGACAGTCTTTGTTGGCCATGGAGTGTGGAGGCCATTCTACCGCATGTACTGGTAGGCAAGCAGCACTCCTGTTTGTGCTCTGAATTGCTGTGTGTCCTGGGAACAGCAGCCCAAACACTTCTGGACCTAGATTACAAGCCTGGGATGCTCGCTGACTCAGTGATACACTTGGCCCAGGGAAGAGGACATGCGCTATTCCAACCCACAGGGCTTTGAGGTTTTCCTGACTTGCAGCTGCATGTTGTCAGCTCTTGCCCATTACAGAGTTATCAGTGGGCCCTGCGAAGGGTTTTGTCTCATTCCCATAGGCTATAACATTAAAAGAGTCCTCAGTAGGGCCTGAGTTGCCTGTGCCTATGGTTTACCTTCCACTGTGTCTGTCTGTCCTGCAGCTTCACCCTAACTGTCCAGAAAACAGTGGGAGTGGGAAGTGCCCACATGGGCACTCAGCCCTGCCACCAGGCTTCTGGCAATCAGTTCAGGCTAAAGGCTCACTGAAGCCCCAGTCACTCCAAGGCTCTTGCTGCCTACTAACCTCCAGATTCTTCTGTTCACCGTAGCTTCCCTTATCCCCTCACCTCCCATGATGCTTTAAATTGACCAGAGAACCCCTCAGACTGGAAAAAGTATGGTGGATGAGCCCAAACCTCGCCTGCCTCTCAGTGACTGTCAGTCTCTTGGACAGGTGTGTCTTTTTCTGTTGATGGGCAGGAGGCAGCCCCAGGGTGTCACAGGTGTGGTCAAGAGCTCAGGTCTAGCAGGAGGTCAGGGTTGGTGGTGGTCAAGAAGACACAGATGCGGCGTGAGATGTCAGGTCCCACTCTGCGGGGTTGCCTGCCTCTGTGGACCTTCACAGGGAGGTCAGCTAGGAGACTCAGGCGTTCCTGCTCAGTGCTGCAGTCCAGTAGAGCCTAGAGTGGGCACAGGTGTGAGTAAGTGGGCTGTAGGTTCTAGTCCTGGTAGGGGGACTTGGGGGATTCACCTGTTGCAGAAGGCGGGGGGAGGGGAAGGCAGCGACAACAGCATCAGCCACAGCTGAGCTGACCCGATTGAACTGTCTGACTTGCCGCCGCCACACTCCTCGGAGCCCAGAGCCATCTTTGGTCACTCGCTGACCTGAGGCCCAGTGTCCTGCTGTGCAGAAGGAAAAGGCCAGGGAGTCTCGGTACTGCCTGAAATGAGGGAAACCCAGACAGACACTTTGAGGACCCTTCATCTGTACAGCCATCCAGCCCTGTCCCCACCCCCACTCAGTCCCTCAGGGTACATACTTAGAGGGGCGCTGAGAGAGGGCCTTGGTGAAGGCACACACATACTGACTTAACTCCTGCCATGAGGCCACCAGCAGCACATCCAGGTTTTCGTGGAGTTGAAGCAGCACCAAGGCCTGTGGTATATAAGAGTGGGTTCGGCTGAATGTCCTGAGGAATGCCAACCCAATTATGCTAGAAACCAGGCCGAAGACAGCAGCCCAAGTGCAGAGACCAAGGCCAGCCATCTAACTCAACTCAGCGGCAGCCCTTACCTCTTCCACCTCAGGCCAGCTGACGGCCACCTTGGCATGGCTGTCCTTTGACTTCTTTAGCTGCCATGTCTTCTGAGAACTGGGTTGGTGAGACCTGAACAGAGGGGACCTTTGGGCTCACAATTCTCTTGCCTTTGCAGGGCCCACCCAGGGCAAGTGGGGCCAGCTGTGACACAGCAGCCTCTAGAGGCAATCCCATTTTTTTTTCTTTTTTTTTCTGGAATCCCATCCAAGCCAACCCTACTGGTTTAGGGAGAGTGGTACCACAGGTATGCATCCAGTCCAATGACAGCCAGGTGGGGGCGGGTGGGACTGTCGGGGGAAAGCCAGGGCATGGAGCAAGGTGGGCCTGTGATCTGAAAGCAACAAGAACAGCCACATACTTGTTTACAGGAGGGCTATGGCTATAGGCCCATAGTATGGCTGGTTTCCAGAGGAAAGAGGAACTGGATGCTGCTCATAGGTCCTGTCTGTTCTCTGGGGAATGCCTCTGCTTCCTTAAGGCCCAGGAGTACACAGGCACACTCCAGGTTTTGGTGCAGAAGTGAGCCAGACCCCTTTCCTCTGGTCCACATCCACACCCAGGTGGCCATTGGCTGGCCACCCAGCAAGTGCTTGACAAATGTTGGCCCTTGGACACCAGGACCCACAAAGAGTTTAGCAGAATTGCGCTTCAGGCAAATTGATCAGTTAGGCCAGTATTCTAGGTTCCTCCTCCACCCCCCAGCCAGTTTGCAGCCCAGATCATCATTCTTAGTTCCCCCAAAGGACCTTCAATGCTCTTGTGTCTAGAGCACTCAGCAGGTTTCTTCGTATTACCCTCCTATGGTAGCACCATCCCATCCCATCCCAGACTGGGAACCAGCCCTACAAGACAAGTAATAGGTCTTTCCCCAAGTACCTGGGTCAGCTGCATAGCACTCTGAAGAAACTCCTGGGGTTCTAGCAGCAGCAACTGTTCCTGTTCATTCTCAGCCCATGCCTCCAGAGGCACCTGTAGGGGACATTACAGCTGGCCACCTGTGTGGGCCCAAGCCCCCTTCCCAATCCGTTGCCCAGCCACCAAACACTTTTAATAACTCCAACTCGCCACACAGTGAAGTTCAGGACTGCTCCTGAGAAGTCCCAGAGTACAAAACTAGCCCAACTCCATGAACAGCAGGAACCCCGACCACATTCTCATTGCCACCAGGAGATTCTGGCAGCGGCTGAATTCAGGTTTCTTGTGTTAAGAAATGCGACTTGAGTATCCTCCAGCTTTTAAGTTACTGCTGTATGAGGCATGAAAGATGAATGCAACTACTTCGCCAGCCAGAGGCAAAAGTGAACCCTGAAATAAGACTGGCACTGGGCTGGTGATAGGGAGACACTCACACTGCTAGGGGCTGGGTCGGGCCTTACAACGCTCCACTGCAGGCTGCGGGACCGGCGCAGCGGCTCAATGCGGCATTCACACCCTAGCGTGCCCAGCGCCTCCATCAGGATGTCGGAGCCTGCATCTTCCAGGACAGCTGGGCCCGGCAGGCGACAGTTCGGTTATTCCACCCTCTCCCGTGAGGGCTTGTGGGTGACGACGCCACCCTGATGTATGGCCAGCCCCAAGGTCCCAACCTCTCCGCCCCCGGCCCCGCACCTGGATCCACGCACACTGCCAGACGACTCAGGACCTGATCCGCCCGTAACGCTTTGGCCGCAGCCCTGTGCTCTCTTACTGTACTCGAGACGTGCGTACCAACCTCCCTAGGGGCGGCACCTTCGCCATCTGAGTCAGAGATCTCCCAGGTATGAGGTCGCCGCTGACCCCGACCCCGACCCCGGCCTCGGGCGCTACACGGGCTCGTGACTCTCCTGGGTGCTACCTCTTCCATAGCTCCCCTTTCCTACAGCTTCCGGATGTACCCGGATGTTTTTGTTCGGGACACTGGCCACTTCCGGATCGGGAGAGCTCCAGAAGCGCAGGTTTCCGGTGGTGTAAGGACGCAGGCATGGCGCGGAAGAAAGTGAGACCCCGGCTGATCGCGGAGCTGGCCCGCCGCGTGCGCGCCTTGCGCGAGCAGCGGAACCAGCCGCGAGACTCACAACTCTACGCCCTAGACTACGAGACTCTGACCCGGCCACACTCGGGTCGCCGGCTGCCGGTGCGCGCCTGGGCCGACGTGCGCCGTGAGAGCCGCCTCTTTCAGCTGCTCGCCCGCCTCCCAGTGTTCGGCTTGGACCGTCTGGTCACCCGCAAGTCCTGGCTGTGGCAGCACGACGAGCCGTGCTACTGGCGCCTCACGCGTGTGAGACCCGACTACACAGCACAGGTGCGCTTTCTCACTGTGCTGCCCCTTCTTGTCTACAGTTTCTTCATCTTGCCCACCCTGGACTACATCACCTGGTTCTACCCACCCTGAACTATTTGGGCTTTTATGTCTCCCTTACCCACGTAACTTAGTGGCAGGATCGCTATGTTGACAATACCCCCTCTTGTTCTGCAGAACTTGGACCACGGGAGGGCCTGGGGCATCCTGACCTTCAAAGGTAAGGCTAGGTGCTGGTTTGGAGTCGGTGATGATAGTTCGCAGATTATCCAGCTAGCAGACAGTTGGCTTATCTTCTTTTCCCAGGGAAGACTGAGGACACGGCTCGGGAAATTGAGCACGTCATGTACCACGACTGGCGGTTGGTACCCAAGCACGAAGAGGAGGCCTTCACCGCGTTCACTGAAAAACCAGAGGACGGATTGAACGCTGTCCCCTACCCACCTCTGCTGCGGGCCATGATCATCGCTGAACGACAGAAAAACGGGGATACCAGCGTCCAGGAGCCACTCCTGAACCTAGAGAGAACTCGGGTACATCCTTGGGACTATCCTGCAAAACAGGAGACCAAAGGGAAGGCCAAGGGCACCCCAGTCTAACTGCCAGGACGGCAGAGAGGCCATGTGTATCATTTGATGGATAAGTGTCTTAGACTGTGTCAAACCTCCCCTTTGCAGGAGAGTTAGACCCTACAGCCCTGACACACCTGCAGGTGACAGGTTGTCATTTTCAGGTGGCCTTTTGCTCATACCTCCGTCTGGAAATAAACGCACGAAGTGGGCTGTGTTGTGGTTTCATTACTGGGCACCTCAAGACGGGGGGTGGGGGGGAGCTGGGGATGCGGAGGAGCAGGGCTCCTGGTACTCCAGTACACTCTGACAAGTCTTGGGTGCCATAGCTGTGTTCTGGGCTCAAATGTGCTGGGACTGCGGAGGCCCCGCTCCGAGGTCCTTTAAGGGAGGCCACGCCCCCTCGCCTCCTGGTCCGCCCCATCCGCCGCCATGATCTGCCTGGTGCTAACCATCTTTGCCAACCTCTTTCCCGCAGGTGAGCACCAGGTCGGGCTGGGGCCGGGCTGGGGGGTAATGCGGTGGGGCATGCCTGAAGCTAGTTCTCCCGCAGCCTACAGCGGCGTGAATGAGCGCACGTTCTTGGCAGTGAAGCCCGACGGCGTGCAGCGACGGCTGGTGGGTGAGATCGTGCGTCGCTTTGAGAGGAAGGGCTTCAAGCTAGTGGCACTAAAGCTAGTGAAGGTATGGGCATACAAAGGAGCTGGTGGGCCCAGGAAGAGGATCAGGCGGGTCTAGGGTCAGGGCCCTCGCGTTGATAATCTGCCTCTCCCCCTAGGCCTCCGAAGAGCTGCTGCGGGAGCACTATGCCGAGCTGCACGAGAGACCCTTCTACAGCCGATTAGTTAAATACATGAGCTCTGGTCCGGTAGTGGCCATGGTGAGTTTCTGATGACCTGCAAGGGGAGGGCGAAGCCTTGGGAGCCCTTATCGCGCTGACAGTAGTCCCGGCAGGTGTGGCAAGGGCTGGACGTCGTACGTGTTTCACGGGCCCTGATAGGGGCCACTGACCCAGGGGACGCTATGCCTGGCACCATCCGTGGGGATTTCTGCGTGGAGGTTGGCAAGTAAGTACTACCAAACTCCCTGGCCGCCCCTCACCCTCCCTCTTCTGCTCACTAGCCTTTCCCTGCACAGGAATGTGATTCATGGCAGTGACTCGGTGGAAAGTGCTCACAGAGAGATTGCACTTTGGTTTCGTGAGGATGAGCTTCTGTGCTGGGAGGACAGCGCAGGGCATTGGATATATGAGTAGATGGCACGGAAGTCAGCATTACCAACCTGGAGGTTGTTGGTCTTCTGCAATCCTCACAGGGCTCAGCAGCGGTGATAGCGCTGTGGGTGCAGGCACAGGTCCACCCAGCCCAACCTGCCCAGGACTGATATTCCCACATCCCTCCCTGTATTTCTTTTCATAATAAACTGCAGAAAACCCTTGGGCACTGGTGTAGTTTCGAGACAAAAAAAGTAGTGTTAAGACATTTATTACATACAGAGCAGATATGTGAGTTCACTTGCAAGGCCAAAGCCTGAGGAGAGTTGCACTGGCCCCTTCCTCCAGCTGCACCCACCCAGCTAACCCCAGTCACTTCACACTCCCGTGGGAACAGACAAGGGACATACATCACAGTGGAGAGGTGGCAGGATGGTGGGGAGAAGCCTGCAGCTGCATACTGATGCAGCTTGACATGGCCAGATGGGCTCAGGGGCAACACCCCTGGATCTGTGCTTCTCTGGTGGGGAGAGGGCAGTAAAGGCCAGGTGACTCTGATCAACGTCCCTGGAAGAGTAAGACCAGGGCCAGGACAGCACCTGCCTCCACACATCTGCTTATAACTGTGCCCGCCCATCCTGGCCAATCCTCAGCTCTTCTGGCCTCTTCCTGGCAGCCTCTTGTTAGGTGCTTTCCAAGGGAGCAGGCCACAGCTGGCAACCCTAGGCACTTAGTACGTGTCCGGGAGCTGGGCTCCTTGGAGCCCTGTGCAGGAGACAGGCCCTGGGAGCACACCATCCTCCATTAACCTGAGGCTGAGCCTGCATCCTAGGACTGACTCTGGGGACACCAGGGCCACCCTTCTTCCTGAGCCCTGTGCCTGCCCTGGCAGCCTGAGAAATTCTACCCTTGGGGATAGTGGGAGGGGCAGGGCACTATGGTCTTGCTCCTCCAAGATGAATCTTGTGCCCAGGAAAAGCCTAGGGGACACTGATCCATGAGAGGTTGGACAATTTTGGGATCCCTTGGGTTATTGGGTAATTGTCATCTTTTGAAGCAGCTGCCCCTGGGAGGCTGGCCCTGAGCTTTCATGCCAGGTTCCTAGGTAAGACCCAGGCTGGGGCCAAGGGAATGTAAGTTTGGAGATGGGGAAAAGCCCAGAGAAGGCTGGCAGAGGTCTAGGAATCTAGACAGACCTGGCCTTCCTTCTGGGCAGAGGATGGTGGCTAGGTCTGGGTCCCTTGGGGAGAGCAAGGGTTTGGGAATCAGGAAGCCCTTCCTCAGGGCTGCATGCAAAGCAAGTAGACTTGGGGAAGACTCGGCAGCGTGAGGCTCTTGCTCCTGGCAGGACTGATGAGGCCGGAGTGGAGCCAGGGCCACCTATGGGGCTTCCCATAGCATTCTTGGTCCTGACTTACCCTGAGGGGCCCCTGGGACTTCATTTGGGCTGGGTGTTGGCCAGGGCCTAGGCCAGGAGCTGCTGGAGAGGGTGTCTATGTCCCAGAGGTTCTCTCCTCCCTGATGGGAAACACATCTGCTCCTGCCTCACTCCCTAAAACTTGCTTCACCCCTCTCTAACAGCTGGGGGCTGGACCTCAGGCAAAAGCTGCAAGTTGAGAGGTTAAAAGGGGATGGACGAACCTGACTGCCCCAGGGAACAGGCGGGGGGGCAGGCAAGTAGGGTCCTATATACAGTTGGCATTAGGCAGGGCAGGTTCTCACTCAGGGGTGTAGGACACCTGCCACACAATGATGTGGCTGCGCTCAGCTTTGGACAACATGGGCTTCACTTGGTTCACATCCCCAGCACCTTCATCAGTTTCGTCATCCTCTCCGTCCCCTAGAGGATTGGCAGTCATGAGGACTCCCACATGCCCACACCAGACCCTTATCTCTAGTTTGTGCCTACTTACCAATGCGGAAGTCGATATAACCTTCACCACCACTCAGCACCAGTGCATTCTTCAACTTCTGGCCCTCAGAGTCTGCAGCAGGTGCAGCAGGCCCAGGGCCCTCTGATGGGCTGTCTAGCACACTGCCATTGAGAGTGGCCAGCACATTTCCTGTCATGGGCAGAGGAATCTCAGAACTGTTGCCTCCTGAAAAGGCCACAGCTGTGCTACTGTAGCACAGTGGGCAAACTGGGTTAAAGATCACGTGTGTACCTGGCACAGAGACAAAGAATTTGACAGCATCACGGTGCCCATGAAAGCAGAGCTGAGCCTGAGCCATGGAGCAGTAGGGGATGAAGCTACTGGCTGCCTTGTCACTGCTGTCATCCCCATACACATGGATGATGCCCCCTGGGCGGGCCCCTTCCCCAGATGTTGGAGATGTCTTGTTGGCTGGGAAAACAGAGACACCATATTTTCAGCAGGCAGCTGGAGACAGCGTGTGCTGGGGGTATAGCAAATGCCCTAGACCACAAGGGGCAAGTGCTGAGAACTTACCTCGGAGCCCTAAAAGTTGGCCTCGATGCAGGACCACAGCTGTGGAGGAGAGAGGAAAGAAGGCTGAGCTTGGCCAGAGAGGTGGCTCCCTACCCACCTACTCTGGGAACTCTTTAGCACAGCTGCTGCTTTCTTGATAGTATCCTCTAGGGTTGGGAACTTACTCTCAGTCAGGGGGATGGAGATGACAACCCCGTTGCCAGTGCCCACCCATAAACGGTTGCCCGCAATGAGTAAGGCTGTGATGCGCACAAAGGAGAAGCCCAGCTTGCCGGTACCTAGGTGGGGACAGGAAGAAGGTCAGTGCAGCCAGTAATGGGTGCCCTAGGTGCTTTGCCTGGCACATTCCCTAATACAGCATCTTTATTTGATTTATATTGGGGCCAAGCTGTCATGTAGCTCAGGAAGGCCTCAAATTTGACTATGTAGCTAAAGATGACTTTGAACTTCTGAGCCTACTTCCACCTCCCAAGTGCTGGGATTATAGGCGTGTGCCCACCATGCCTGGCTTACCCAGCATCTTGCTAACATAGGGCTCAATGTCCACATCCTGCAGGTGCTGGTGGGTGTGAGCATGGTAGAGTCGAAGGGTGGAGTCCAAGCGAATGGAGACCCATACTCCGTCACCGATCCAGGCCAGCTGTCGTACCTGGCTTTCCCGCCTTGGATGGGCATCAAATGACTTCTGTTGGTTAATGGCAGTCAGTCAACAGGGGTGGGTAATGGAGAGGTAAGGGATCTGGGCTTGCTGTGATGTGATGCAGGGCCCACCTTCATAACATACAGCCTGTCCTAACCTCTAATCTGGCAGAAGGCCCCTCTCCACTTTGGAGGTCACTGGCTAGCACTTGCCTCAATCTGCATCGTCTTGGGCTGGATGACGTGCACCTTGTTCTTGTATCCACACCAGACTCGGTCGTCGACAACAGCCATGCAACGGATGGAGTGGTGTGGGTGGCCCAGGTCCATCAGGTGGTAGTTGCTCAGGTCCCACTGGCCATCTAGAAAGGTCCCAGGACACCTGCTCAAGACTGGCTAGGGTCTATTTCAGCCCACTGGATCAGTGTGGAGGACCTATTGCCAGGCTCAGGGTGGACCAATAAATACAGAGACCCAGGAACCCAGGAACCCCTAGGCCTGCCTCTGCAACGGCCATGAGGCCTTACCCTCGCCACGATGGAAGATAGCCAGGGTCCCATCTGCAAGAGCTACCAGCACTCGGCCTTTGACATGCCTGGAATGGTAAGTCAGTGAGGTAGGCTGAGGTTGCTGGGCCCTTGAGTCCCTGACCCCAACCCTTAGTGGGGGCCACATACACCAGGCTCAGCACAGAGTCTTTTAGCTTGATGGAGTGCAGACACTTCTTCCAGTTGGCTACTGCTGAATGCACGTAGAGCCTGCAGAGTAAGGCAGGTGGGCAGAGCTTACATGGTTCATTGAGGGCCCCCCTATCCCACCACCATACCATGTCTTATGTCTTTGGCTTTGCCTACCAGCCATTCTGGGCTCCTAGCCACATGGTGGGTGCAGCACTACTGGTAGTTGCAGAGGGCTCCCCACTGGGCTCCAACTGAGGCTGTACAATGCTCTCATCGGGCTCTGGCCCATTCTCACTGAAAGAAGAATAGTAGCTGTAGCCACAGTGTGGATTATAAAAGCACTTTTGCTACTTGCCGACCTCTGCCATCATCCCTTCTACTGATGCAACCTACCTGGCAGGCTGGGTGCTGGAGGGTGGGGTAGGAGCAAGGTCAGTGAAGACATGCTCTGTGAGGGGCCCAGGCCGAACTGTGGTTGCTTCTGGCTCACTGGGACCAGGGTCTGGCACCTCTGTGGCTTCTGTGGCTTCTTCTGTGGATTGGGATGGGTTTACTTTCCCATTGGCAGTAGCTGCCACATCCCCTGTGGAAAGAGAAGTAAGCTTGGCAAGGCAGAGAAAAGACAAATGTGGGGATAGGGAGAAGACCATCTGGGACTCACCCTGTCCCTTGTCCAGTACTGGAGTGTCTCCTCGGGAGGAGCAGTTGCTACGGGGTACATTGCAGCGGGTAGCACACCCCACCAGAGTGATGCCAGCCAGCACACCATCAGCACCTGAATCTTCAGGGTTCACATCACTCTCTAGGAACATCTCCCCAGGGGGATAGTCACTGTCGCTGGCCGCTGGGGAAAAATTCCCAGCTCATCAGTCCAACATCACAAAGCCACCCCAGGAGGCAGGGGGAGATGGGAACTGCAGGCTTGGTTGGCTCTGCCTCTCAGCTTAGTCCCCCACACAGTCCCTCTAGTGACAACCACTCTCAGCCTTGGGGTCAAGCTTATAGGTAGAAAGGAACTGAGAAATAATGGTCTGCTCCATCATACAAAAGATCATGAAGAACTCCAAGGAGTAGAGGCTATCTCAGCAAATACGTAAAGCTTCAAAACAAAGACCTGCAGGTCCCTCAGCACTACCCTGGAGCCGTGCTAAAAGGTCATGGGGCTGCTGCTGAGGGGTGATGCTAGGATCTTCACCTGTACCCTGGAGAGCTTCCTCCTGGGCACATGGAGAAAGATAACTTGATACACTATCTGTTCACATCTCTAGGTCTCTAATCCTATTTAGTCAGTATACCAGTCCTATCTGGCTGAAAAGGAAGAACTACCTGCCTCAATCACCAGCTCTGCAGGGCAGTCCACAGAGAGCAAGTAAGTGTCTGCTGTTGGATAGCATCTGGCAGTGGGAGCCCCAACTCACCAGGAATGCTAGATATACACAGGACATGGGCATTGCAG